GGTATATGAATAACCCAGTTACACACAAGGGTTCATATTTAAAGCCCGCGTCTTCGGCACTGAATATGAACCCGTGTGTAACTTGGTTATTCATACATACCCATACAATAACTATAAAATATTTAGTACAACTAACGGATACCCATTAACTATATTGATTAATAAACATGCTACTTATACTAAAGTTTACCAAGCCATGTTAAATATGATTCAATGAAAACACCTGAGACAGTTTAGCTGTTGTAAACAGTTAAAATACACTAGTCAGAATTTAATTTATAATAAATATATAATCCAAATTTTAATTTTAATTTAAATTTTACATATCGATATGTTAATATGTGCTATTTATATAAAATCAATTTTATCGCAAATGACTTTATGGACGTCCTACGTAGGTAATACCAGCGATACCATTTTGTTCAATTAGATTTACTAGTTCTATTTTGTTGATATCCACATATAAAAAAATAACATGAATAATACTGCCATTACTACCACTGGTAATAATGATAATCCACCTGCACCTATAGTAGCAATAGACTGGCATATGGCTACTAAACTTCCTTTAACAATTCCAACGGTACCACATCCTAACACATGGAAAATTGTAGCACCACAAGTACCTAAAACACCAATGGACTGACCTATGGCAACCATACTTCCTTTAACTATTCCCACAGCAGAAAATCCCACAAGACGGAGAAGTCCAAGAAAAATCCAAGGACTGATAAGAGATATAATAATAATTATTATTACTACAACAATAATAATGAAATACTCGGATATAAATTTAACTATTGCTCCAAAGAATTCACGAATTTTTCAAAAATTGGTTCGAGAGAAGGAAATTGAATTTCAGGAAATTTAACTTCAGGAAATTCGACTTCAGGAAATTTGATTTCAGGAAGTTGGATTTCAGTTATAAATTTAACTATTGTTTCAAAGAATTCACGAATTTTTTCAAAAATTGTAAAATGGATTTCAGGAAATTTAACTTCAGGAAATTGAATTTCAGAAAATGTAACTTCAGAAAATTGGTCTTCAGACATTCTGACATCTGGAAGTTCTACTGTAGTAACATCCGAAGGTGCACCATTAATCTCATTGTGACTGGTAAGTACAACAGTAACATCATTAGTGAGTTGTATGGTTAATACTTTGGTGGATTTTCGAGGAGATTGGTTTTCAAACACTCCAACATCTGGAAGTTCTTCTGTAGTCATATAAACGCCTGAGGATTCATCATTAACTTCATTGGCACCAGTAAGTACAACAGCAACATCATCAATGGGTTGTATGATTAATACTTTGGTGGTCTTTTGAGGAATAGGAAAGCTAATAACAAATTGGCATAAAACAAAGATTAAAATCGTAATTGCAGCCTTAGAGAATGGTTTCATTGTTTTTTGAAAAGCATGCAATTTTAATATATTAAAAAGCTTTATAGTTTCCTTATTAGTATTTAAATACATCATTTCAGTAACAACGAGCACTATTTAGTAAAATGATAACGTCATATTTCATGCAGTATGTGCTTCAGCCATTCTCGGAATTTTTCTTCCAGATCACGGGTTAATCAATTTTGGTAAATCGTCGTTACACTAACATTGGCAAATACCTTACTATTGCCAAACACAAAGCACACCTTTCTTGCTCTACTCCTAACAGTACTCTTTTTAACCACAACCTCTATAATATTCACAATATCTGGGA